GAAAGTTCACCCCCAAAATACATATATATTTTGAAATATGAAATTTCAATTATTTGGCAGCAGCCATGGAGTCCTAAGTTTAATGAAAGCTCATTAAAATTACTCTTTTTTTCCCCTCTTAATTTTTTGTACAATAATCAAAACTATATTGGTATGGATAGCATTTCTCATTGCAAATATTTTAAAATCTTCAATGTTTTGTGTATGGCACGTGTGTCATTTGAAACAGACCTTTTCCCTAAAAAGTAATCAAAGAGAGAAAGGTTATGTTTGCATTTTCTTTGTTCAAGGTGTTTATTGCATCTCAGAGGGCGTACATGCACTGGGTTTTTAAACCGAAATACAAAGAAAAGCCATTTTGAAATTGGTTTTAGGTAATTTTTCCCCATTACAGTGTATGTTATCCCCACAGTAAATTCAGATACAACCACTTTTAAATGGTACCATACATCTATTAAATAATTTGAAAAATAGGCAAACACCTTTCCAACCCAATATGCTTTTACGAAGAGCTGCCAAGCCACTAGCAACACTGATCAACAGTGACCTCATTTATGCATCAAAATCTTAAGCCAAGCCATCAGCACAGACAGTATGACAACAAATTAAAAATTAAAGAATACAATATGTACAGTAAAGAATACAATTCTCTCAATTAGTTTAAATCCTAATCACAATGGTACAACAAAACCTACTTTGAGCTCAATTGAAGGATGGAAGAACACTAGTTTACAGAACACACAAAGAAATACTAAATTAACAGATGTACATAAAACCCACAGTAAAAATATTTGCAGTAATCTTTAAATTACAGTTATACCTTGGGGTGCCTTCATAATCACTTGAATAGCACATCTCTAATTGTATTTTCACGGACATGATAGAAACGGACCCTTTACTTTTCATTGAGTTTAATCAAGAATGAATAAATAGGTCAATTTAGATGCAAAATCTGTCAAATATAATTAAAATATATAGATTTTAATATAGCAGAGATAAATAGGGAATTTTTCCCATACAATTTTTCATTCTTGATAAGGTAGCTTCAAGGAGAAGTATTTATTACGGACGTTAACCTTTATATTTTTTAAAATAAAATTTCTTAACATATACAGTGCCACAAAAATAAACATTTCTCACAACAGTTGAAGTTCCTGTGATTGGAAAAATGTACTCCACACAGAAAAAAGTTTTGTATATTTAAGAGTGTTTTCATTACTATCTGATATTATCACACTATGCTTGTAACAGAGATACAGAAGAAAAGAGAATTTATGGGGAGTGTTTAGGGTTTGTCCAAAAGTTATATGTACATTGAAACCTTCAAAAACACAGACACATCTTTCCAAATGGCTCACCATACAACAGCTGCGTCATCCTTCCATGGGCGAGGTCAGAAAAGCACTAAAGGCATCAGAAACATCCGTTCATTGTTTATGTCGTACAACACACAAATAACCCAAATATACACTACAATTTCGAGAGTAGGGCTAACAGCTATGGTAGTACACATTCCTAATGTTCACTTTCACGGCTGTGCTACACGTTTTGGAACAGAAGTTACGAATAAGCATTGGGTTTGGTACTGGTGGCTCACTTTGAAACTCTGAGCATCAATCTCATTTGAAGTCTCCAAACTCATTTTTTTTTCCCTATTCAGTCACAAAAATTGCAGCTGTAAAGAAAAAAGTACTTGAATTAGAAAACAAGACTATTGCATCCACCTCAAATATTTTACCTCCCTTGCAATTACTGCATTTCATAGTGACTACAAAAAACTTTTACACAAGAGGTTTCTGTATTAAATTCACAACGATATACTTTTCACAATTCTTTAAAATAAACTTAAATTTTCAGCCAGAAAATTTTAAAACAACTTTCAATGTATACTTTCATTTTAGATAAAAATTATATCAACAAAAATCTGAAATTTAGATACTTATTAGAAATTTTAGTAGTAAGACATTCAATACCAATTAAGAGTAGCTAACCTTTAAAAAAGAGCAGCCAGAAAAAGGGGCAGCATGGCAGTAACTTCCATTATTTTTCCTTCTATTCAGTTATGGGGTTCAATGAATCACTTACTAAACAGTAGAACTAGTGACAGAGGAGAAGAGAAGGGAGATATTCGTGGTAACTCAATGCCTCCTCTCAGCCCCCTCCCCACTTTCGTCCCTGGCTAATCTGTGCTTTGCCAGTCATTTCTGCCAGAAATTGCCAGAAATTGCTCCTGAGATCTTAAGGCTTGGCCACCTAGGTACATCGTCTTCATAAAATTGTCAATCTTAGTCCTTCTCTCCCTTTCTCCCTCCTGTGAATCACTTAGGGCAGGGACTGTCTCAGCATCTCTTGTTTCCTGTACTTATCAAAGTTCCTGGCATATGATAAAAGCAATATTTACTAAAGAAGAGGTGGATAAAAGGCTGGTCTGCGCAGTTTCCTTGGTCACTCCTGAAACTTTAATAAATGCTCATTGTCTTACTTATACCTACATTAGCTAACCAAAAGTGAAATAGAAAAGTTGGGCACAAGGAGAAATTACTTGGCGAGAAAGTAAGTCCTGAAAATGATATTAATATATTATTAATATTGTATAAGAAGAAAACCCCATAAAGCAGGAATCCACAAAAATCCTAGTAGGCATTAGGGAAAGTTTTTAATATAGGTGGTAGATGTATAATAAAAATAACACTGGACAGTGGTCCAAGAACTTCGACACTCTTTTTTCCTATGAAACTTTGGGAAATCATTTAATGCCCAAGGATCAGTTCTTTTAGCTGTGAAATGGAGGCAAAAAAAAAAAAATCTGGCTAGTTTATATCACAGTATTTCAATCTTCTACTTCTGTGGTCCCCATCCCCTGGGCCACAGACTGGTACTGGTCCGTGACCTGTTAGGAGTGAGTGAAGCTTCATGTGTATTTACAGCCGCTCCCCACCGCTCACATCACCGCCTGAGCCCCGCCTCCTGTCAGATTAGTGGCGGAATTAGATTCTGCATTATGGTGAGTTGTATAATTATTTCATTATATATTACAATGTAATAAAAACAGAAATAAAGTACACGATAAATGTAATGTGCTTGAATCATCCCAAAACATCCTCCCCTCCCCCCAGGTCCATGGAAACATTGTCTTCCATGAAAGCAGTCCCTGGTGCCAAAAGGGTTGAGGACTGCTGTTCTACTTAGAAGATCAAAGAAGTTAATAACTGGGAAGTAGATAAGAAAAGTACCATGTAAATTACTGTTCATCCCTTTAGCAAGTTATATGCTGAGAACCTATCCACTGTGTTAGGTGCTGAGTTAATAATAAACATTTTTCCTTCATCAATTTCCACCTATAAGTGCACCATTAATCATTTCATATATTATATGAATTTAAGAAATTTAAAACTAGAATATTAGAAATTTAAAATTCTGCTTGAATGCAGAGACGCAGAGGGTAACAATCTAAGCTTTACTTTATGAGGCAAAAGAAGGATAAACAAAATGAAAACACAATTATATAGCCACATATATTCTTAGATGACTTCTAAATGCAGTATTATAAATGTTAGCTTTCTATAAATTCCAGTCATCATATAATAAAGTGGTAATTTTCTAATTTACCAAGTAGCTTGGGCAATTTTTTGCTTTTAAGTCTAATCTTTGTGCTTAGGATGAGGACAATTTGGAGATTTCATTCCCCCCTACTTTTATAAATTAAGATTTAAAAAAGAATTCACTGATAAAGGTAGCTTTTAACATCAAATTTAACAGTAAAAGCACTCAAATTATTACTATTACACACAGCTATTCAAAACACAGAAATGACAAATATATCTGAAATAGCTAAGCATTGTACAGCTCATTATTACAGCCCACAGGAAAAGGTCAATATTAGATACCTTAAATTGTTTACAAGAAATCCTTGATGTTAAGATCCGCTAATGGGTCCTTTGCTGGAGGTTTCTTGGGACTCTGAGTGGCAGGTGTAGGGCTTGGAGAAAGCTAATGGGGAAAAAGCCAGCCCCAAAGAACAGAAATAGAAAGCAAACAGAGAGATAGATAAGCATTAGGCAGAACATACCACAGAAAACAAACATGCAGAAGATTAGATGGTTAAAGGCTTACAAAAGCTACTTTGTTCTACTTAGTCACAGTGTCGTGTTTAATTTTGGTTTGGTAAAATACACCTCAACTGATATCTGGCTTTCTTGGAATTCTTTGACATCAGATTTAGCCAAAGTAAAATTTAGGGACTCTGGTAGAACAATATGGATACGAGTTAGGGAAGATGTGAAAAACTAGTCACATAAAGATATTATGAATATAAAGTAAAACAAACGAATGACAATTGATTTCTCTATACAAAGGCATTTTTACTTTGAGTTATTAGTACCACTACACTAATAAAGCAATTTTATAGCTTTTCATATAGTGACAATGAATTGGAAGGAAAATTTGAAAGGAAACAGTTCATAGAAAGCCACTTAAGAAATTACTTAAAATTATAAGCTAAGTATACTTGCTTTTCATATAAATTTTTTAAAGTAAAAAGCAATCAAGTTTGGGGGCATTGCATGTTTCAGATGACCAGTTTCCTAGTAGTGAATGCCACTAAATTCTACTATAACCTATATAGCTTTTGGGAGGGGGAGAGGGTAAAACTAAGTATTAAATACTACAGGAAAGAATCCTACTGAACTCGTAGCAAAAATAATTAACTTACCTTGTTTCCGTTTAACCAAAACCTACATTATTTTTTCATGTGTGACAGACTTCTGAGAGCAGGCTTTTATAGGAATATTTATTAAGGCTTTGAAAAATCTCACAGTCTATATAAAGTAACAGTTGACATCTATGCTTTGAGTCTAATTAATCTCCTATGCTTGTAGTAACATGATGGAACATCATGGGGCAAGGATGTGTGTTTTATTGGTTCAGTAAACAGAGTTCCAGAAATACGGATGTTGATATTTGTTCCTATGTCTAGAAACTGATTGATTGCATTATCTGTCAGCCAAATTTTTATGTTTAAACCTGGAATAATGCTTCATAGAAATATCTTAAGAAATAAATGTAACGCTTGAAGTTGCTTAGAAGAGACTCAAGGATTGATTGGTCCATAAGTATTAATTAGGTGAGATGATAATATCATGATATCAGCCAATTAAAGAACAGTGGGATAGTCTAGGCATCAGTAATGAAAAACTGTTTTGTTTCCTGAAGCTGCAAACTCATGTTTTTTATTCTCTAGTTTAATTATGCTTCTTCTCTGTTATAAGAAATATAATCTAAAAATTGTAGAAATATGGCACATCATTCCCTGACTTATCATAAATTCAATTACTGATTAAAACAATGTGTTTTCATTGTATCATCTATTTTTCATTCTTCAAAAATTAAGTAAATAAATTGATGCTAATGCTGATATTATATAAGAAAAACAACTGCCTTAAGTAATAAAATTGTATTAATTTATTTCTAAAGCTTTCAGTATACCAAATACAATAAAGTTAAAAAAAACCTAAATAACATTGTTCCAAGTTCATAACACCAGAAACATCCCTCTTTTTTTTCAAAAAGGTGGTAGATAGCCGTGGATCTATTCAACCATCAAGGAAATAATCCTGATAAATGAGATCCCTTAGAATTTAAATATATCTAGGTTAAACTTAACCCCAACCATAATACCTAAAACCTTCTTTACTCTCCCTCAAAACAACTCTAGGCAGGATTCATTAGTCTTCGAGCAGAATGGAAAATTTCTCCTGAAGCCAGAGCATGGGTTATGGCCATGAAGGCAAGGGCTTCTCATGCTCTAAAATTTCTCTCTTTCAAAACCTACCACTATTCTCCTGGTCACTATGGCTTTTGAGGGGTTAAAGGGAAGAAGCTGAAAGCAAATTTTGGGAACAGATGGAGGATGGATTTAGAGAGAGATCAAAGAAGCAGAAGGATTAAGGTATATTCACAAAGCTCACAGTAGGCATCCTATGGATAAGATGATGTAAATACTTAATTGGGGGCCGGGCGGCGCGGTGGCTCAGGCCTGTAGTCCTAGCACTCTGGGAGGCCGAGGCGGGCGGATTGTTTGAGCTCAGGAGTTCGAGACCAGCCTGAGCAAGAGCGAGACCCCGTCTCTACTAAAAAAAATAGAAAGAAATTATCTGGACAACTAAAAATATATAGAAAAAATTAGCCGGGCATGGTGGTGCATGCCTGTAGTCCCAGCTACTGGGGAGGCTGAAGCAGGAGGATCGCTTGAGCCCAGGAGTTTGAGGTTGCTGTGAGCTAGGCTGACGCCATGGCACTCACTCTAGCCCGGGCAACAGAGTGAGACTCTGTATCAAAAAAAAAAAACAAAATACTTATCTGGTAAGTTAAAAAATATAGCAATAAAACCATTTACTGATGTCATTAAAATATATTTGAGCTATTTGGTTTAGTTTGCTTAGCATGCTGATACTAAAGTTATAATTTTGTGTTCTGACTCTGTCTAAATCCATTTCTCATGGTGAAAACCTCTTTGGTTCTACCACTTTGGCCAGACAATTTAAAAGAGGAATCAAGAAAGGGTGACGCAGCAGTATGACTAGCACTCCTGGCAGCAAAACACTTCCACAAAGTGCACAGATTTGGGCATCTTTCTTTATAAATGGAAGTAGCACATTGTGTCATAAGAAATTCAGTCTCACCCATAGAGAGGTTTTCCCTTTGCCCAGAATCCTGGTAGGTAACCTCTAAATCCTTGTAATTTCCTGAGTGATAGGAATGCCTTTGTTATACGTGGTGGGCTCCTGAAACCAAACCTAATAGTTTATGCTAACAAGGTGACTCAGAGTGGAGACTGGCCATGCCAGAGAGACCAACCATGTGATTAGAGGGTTGGGTCTTTGGGCTGTATGATGCCAGCCTGATCTCTGGGGAAGGAGGAGGGTTGGAGACTGCATTTGACTAAGTGGGTAATAATTCGACCAATCGTTCCTACATAATGAAGCCTCAATAACTCTGGACACTGGAGCTTGGGTGAGCTTCCTGAGTAGGCAATGCTGTGTGTGCACTGTCACACAGAAGCCAGGAGAACACGTCCCTGAAGACAAAGAAGCTTCATTCTTGGTACACTCCCAGATGACTTCTGTGTCTCTCTTCCTATAGCTGGTTCTAATTTGTATCCTTCCACTACAATCAAACTGTAATCATACGTTTAGCATTTTTCTGAGTACCATGATTAATTTGAGGGAATCTGAGGATGGCCATGGAAAAGCTTGAATTTGTAGCCAGCTGGTCTGAAGTGAAGGTGGCCTTGCGGACTTCCAAACTTGTGCCTGCTGTCTGAGATGAGGGGATTCTAACGGGGACTGTTCCTACAGACTTTGTAGTTTGGCAAATTCATTGCAGTTAGTGTCACAAGTCTTGGGCAGACTTGGCAGTCTGGAGGACTGTGCCTCTAACCTTTTTGGCTAACTCTGAGAATCAAAAACAATAATTAATAATATAAAAAAACTATGGATCGGGAGCACTCATTTCTCTGGGAGATATGCCTTGGATGCCCCAACTGTCTGGTTGTTCTCAAGAACCATTCTTGAATTAAGTAGGAAAAGAATGGAGGGACCTTAGGACAGTTAATTATTTCTATCATTTTTCTCCAAACCTCACACTATTGCTAATCTGTCTCCCATGTTCCTATTACTTCTGAAACAACAGGTATGCGTATCATATTAGGTAAAAACACTCTTTAAACAGCTTGCCATGTGAAAGTTTCATACTTATAAGTTAACGCTGCTGATCTGTGGACATTTAGGAAACTGACCTGTGTGCCAGGTACAGCGGCAGCTCCAAAGGGCGGTCTCATCATGGGCTGTGCGAACATGACGGGCTGCTGTGGCATCATGGGCATGCCCGTCCCAGCAGGAGGCTGAGGAGGAAGAGTGGTTCAGCGCATGAGTGGAACTCCTAGGCAATACCCTGACATTTATGGCTTCTCTGTGCTTCTAACAACTTCTGAGGAACCCACAACTGTGAGAAAATATAATTTGTAATTTTCAACTCTGTGCACCATGAGGCTAGTGGATGGGAGAGAGTCACTTTGGCGGGTGGGGCATGGGCCCGGTCGGCCAGCAGCATCCTCATCCCAACTGGGCTTTGTTGTTTATTTACCATCTTATGTAAGCATAATTTTTAAAGAATAAAACATTTCTTTATCAAAGATGGCCCTAAATTTGGCTGGTGGTAAAAGTGATAAGTAAAAAATCCTAATACAGTAATTTAAAAGTTGATTTTGATGATTAAGATAAGATTATGTTTGGTTAATACTATTACAAAAATGATATAACAATGTACTATAGAAATTAATTTGATGGTGGAATTTAAGTATTTTATAATTGATTTTATCACTTTATATTTAGACCACTGAAGGTCTAAAGCAGATGACTTAACCTTTTAAGTTTCACTTACTGCATTTTGGGAAGAATTATATTCTATAGGAATACTTGTTAATTTGGGATTTGGCACAGAACTTACATATATCAATTACAATTTTTAGCACAGGTCATCACTCACCATTCCAAATCCTGCTCCAGGTTGTCCAACCGATGCGGCCCCGGCAACAGGAGGAACTGAACTGGTTGGAGGTACAGCTCCTTGCTATAACGCACACACATACCACACCACACAAAATACAAACACACACACACACAACAATAAACAAAAAGAACCAACATAATTTTGTTTTAAAATAATATAATTTAAAAATGCATGCATCTCAAGTATGTATGTGAGAATATGTAAGGAAATTGTTTTAAATTAAAAAATGAAAGAGGCTCTAGTACCACGGTGATGATGTAAACAAAGTTACTGTCTTGATGACATCATTTGGACTTGCTGCCCTGCAGCTTATGCGAAGTATTGGGCGTCCTCTCTATCTCCTTAGACCCATCCTCACTGGAAATGAGTCAAATTTCTGTAAGCTTGTCTTTTCCTATCATTGTATCCTCTAAGAGGTATTGAGTTAGACATTTGAGGATCATGATTTCACTTACATTTCAATGCTTGGTTTCCATCCGTCTCATTTTTATTTTATTCTTTTCTGTGTTATTCTTGCTTTTTTCTGACTTTTGATTGTTGTACTTATGCACAAAGACCAAAATTAATTCTAAGTGTTAGAAAGCATTTAGAAGACTATGTAATATAGCACGCATATCCCATTTCAGATACAGGTGTAACAGTTTTCAATCATATGTCAAAGCCCCCTAATACTTCCCTTTTGTTTGAAATTAACACCACTGCAATCCTGTACATTTAAATTAACCATCAGAGAAAACCTAATTAAAAAAGAAAATGGTGTAGTGATATCAGCAAAAATGGTGGAGTAGGAAACTCCAAAAGTCACCCTAACCATAAAAGCAAAATAGGCAACAATTGTCAGAATTAACTTTTTAGAACTCTAGAAATGAACTAAAAGCTTACAGCAATCCAGGAAGTACTTTTTCAAGAAACTCTGTTGAATCTGATAAGAACAGGGAGCTTCGTGGCATTTTAACATACCTTAGTCCTACCCTCTGTTCTTTAGGTTGGCTGTAGTCTTAAAAATATCATACATTCCCAATAAGACTATATAAGAGGGAGCAGGATATATTTAATTATTTGCTCTGTCCTCTCTGAGTGGCTCTCTGGAAAGACTGCCTTAAAAGGCTTGTCTTTGTCTTGCCTAACTGGGAATGCACCTAGGTGCTAAAGTCATTACCTGAAGACATTTGTGGACAATATAGGCAAATAGTTTAGTTGTTCCTATCTGAGGCAGTGAATAACAGGTAGAATAAATAAAAAGCTTGGGAGGAAAGGCTGGGGAATGAGATACTTTGTGAATTAAGGGTTGAAAAGCTCGAACATAATCCTGGGTATTTAGAAGGCCATGCACATGCCCAGGGCTACGCACATGCTCAGGGAAGATTTCAGAAGGATTCAAGCTCTCACCTCTGGCTAACCTTGAGCCTCTGCACAAGCAGTAAGTGAAGGCTAAGGTAGAGCTGCAAACTGCCTGGTTGAGATTGAAGACATGCTCCAACATACACACAGAGTCCCTCTGCAAAGACTGGGAGATATTTTTGATTCCAGGAGTTTAAGGAATATCTGTCCAATCATTAGCTGACCACTTAGCTAAAGGAATAGAGACTTCAGTGGTCACAGATGACAAAGAACACAGACTTTACAGAATTAGTTCAGAATGGTCACTAAACAACAACTATAAAAAGTAGCAACAATAAACTCTGGGGAAAGAGCAGAATTTGATTTCCTGAGTTGCCACATGATAACATTCAAAGGCCCAAGTTTTAGTAAAAACTCACAAAGCATACGAAGAAACAAGAACGTATGGCCCATACACAAGAGAAAGATCTCAAATCAATAACATAAATTTCCACCTTAAGAAACTAGAAAAGGCCGGTGTGGTGGCTCATGCCTATAATCCTAGTACTTTGGGAGGCCAAGGTAGGAGAATTGCTTGAGGTCAGGAGTTCAAGACCAGCCTGAGCAACAGCGAGACCCTGTCTCTATTAAAAATAATAAAACAAAATTATCCAGGCAACTAAACACAGAAAAAATTAGCTGGGTGTGGTGGCGTGCACCTGCAGTCCCAGTTACTTGGGAGGCTGAGGCAGGAGGATGGCTTGAGCCCAGGAGTTTGAGGTTGCTGTGAGCTAGGCTGATGCCACGGCACTCTAGCCTGGGCAACAGAGTGAGACTCTGTCTCGGGGGGGGCGGGGGAAGAAACTAGCAAAAAGAAGAGGAAACTAAATCCAAAGTAAGCCCAGAGGAAGGCAATAATAATGATTACAGTGTATATAAATGAAATAAAGAATGGAAAAACAAAAGAGGAAATCAAAGAGACAAAAAATTTCCTCTTGGAAAAAGATCAATAAGATTGACAAACTTTTACCTAGAAAAACCAAGACAAAAAGAAGCTCAAATGGACAAAATCAGGAAAGAAAGTGGTGGCACTACTACCAAACTGATAGAAATAAAAAGGATTATGAAGAAGTATTATGAGTAATTATATACTAAAACATTACATAACCTCAACAAAATGGTCAAATTTCTAGAAAGACATAAACTATCCAAACTGATTCAATAAGAAACAGGAAATCTGAATAGATATATAACAAGTAAAGAAATTAATCAGTAAGCACAAAACTTCCATCAAAGAAAAGCCAAGAACTAGATGGCTTCACTGGTAAATTCTACCAAATGCGTAAATAATTAATATGAATTCTTCTCAAGCTCTCCAAAAAAACAAAAGGGGGGAACACTTCCTAATCATTCTTTGATGCCAGCATTACCCTGATACCAAAGCCAAGCAAAGATATCACAAAAAAAAAACTACAGACCAATATCCCTTATGAACATTGACACAAAAATCTTCAACAAAACACTAGCATACAGAATCTAGCAGATATTAAAAGGATCATACACCATGGCCAAGTAGGGTTTATCCCAGGAATGCAAGGTTGGCTTAATAGATGGAAATTAATGAATGTAATACACCATATTAATAGAATAAAAGAAAAAAATACAGGATTATAGTGAATTCTTATAATTTTTTTGTTACCTCAGCATCTATTTTGATTATATCTTTAACTTTCTCCTATTAAAAGCAGGGCTTAGTCACCCTTGACACAGTTTCTAGTTCTCTGACTCCTCACATGGTTCCTCACATGGAATTTGTGCCTACTTGTTGTAAACCCACAAATTAAAACTCCCCATGGGAAACCTGATTCAGTTATGTCCTGGACCCCAATAAAGGTTTTGGCCCACAGGTCCCTCACTCTATCTCTCTCTCTCTTGCTCCTCACCCACTGGTTGAATACATATGTCCTGGAAGGCTCTCTCCTTCCCATTGGCTTTGAGAAGTGTGTTGCCCTGTTCCCTCTGGGATCTATAAGTAACAAAACTGCTTATGTTATTTCATGTGTTTTACTGTGCTGCCTCTTCTGTGTTTTACCTGACTGACACACCTGAATCTATAATATCTTCTTTCCCAATGAGGGCTCTCTACTGAGAGTGGCTATTTTGGTAGGAATAGACTGGGCACAGGTCACACAAGAGCCACAAGGGCATTTGCCAGTATTAACAAATTTCCTGTGAGAGAGATACCTGGTCACAGGTCAGATACTTAGGCCATATACCAGAATGAAGAAGTATCCTGTGAAAGGGACACATCCACAACCGTCTCCTCTGGAGCCCTGTCTGGGCAAGGCTAGAGTTTATAGCCACTCTCCTAAGAGAGACCTCAAGACCAAATTAGAAAAAATCACAATGATCATCTAATAGATCCAGAAAAAGCACTTAACCAAAACCTTTCAAGACCAAAAACAAACAAACACAAAAATATTCAACACACTAAATAAAAATAGAAGGGAAATTCCTCCACTTGATAAAGGGCATCGACAAAAAACCCACATCTAACATCATACTTGGTGGTAAATGACTGAAAGCTTTCTTCATAAGAACAAGATAAGGATGTACTGGAAATTCTAGTTACGGTAATTGGTAGGAAAAAGAAAGAAATACCATGCAGATAGGAAAGGAAAGAATATCACTATTCATAGATGACATGAGTTATATATAGAAGACCCTAAAGAATCCACATATAAAAATTATTAAAGCTAATAAACAAGTTAATCAAAGTTGCAGAATACAAGATCAATATACAAAAATCAGTGTACTGTTCATTGTACACTAGCAATGAACAATCCAAAAATGTAATCATGAAAACAATCCCATTTAAAATAGCATCACAAATAATAAAATATTTAGGAATAAGTTTAACAAGTACAAGACTTATGCATTGACAACTATAAAACATTGTTCAAAGAAATTAAAGAAGAACTAAATAAATGGAAAGATGTCCTTTGTTCATGGATTGGAAGATTTACTATTGTTAAAATGGCAATAATTTGCAAATTGCTATATAGATTGAAGGTAATCCCTATCAAAATTTCAAATGCATTTTTTGGAGACATGGACAATCTGAACCTAAAATTGGTATGGAAATTCAAGGGAACCAGAATAGCCAAAACATTCTTGAAAAAGAACAACAAATTGGAGTACTCACACTTCCTGGTTTCAAAACTTAATACAAAGCTACATTAATCAAAACAATGTGGTACTGGCATAAGGACAGACATACAGAACAATACAACAGAATAAAATGTCTGGAAATGAAGCCATACATCTATGGTCAATTGATTCTTGACAAGCGTATCATGATCAATTAATGTAGAAATAATAGTCTTTTCAACAAATGATTCTGAGACAACTGAATTTCCACATGACATAATGAATTTGGACCCCTATCTCACATCATGTAAAATAAATGAGCTCAAAATAGGTCAAAGACTTAATGTAAGAGATGAAACTAGGAAACTCTTAGAAAAAAACATAGGTGAAAAACTTGAAGACCTTGGATTAAGACAATGGTTTCTCAAATATGACACCAAAAGCACAAGCAATAAAACATATAAATTAGATTTTATCAAAATTAAAAACTTTTGTACATAGAAGGACACTATCAAGAAATCAAAAAGATAGCTCACAGAGAGAAAATATTTGCAAATCATGTATCTTATGAGCATCTATTAATAGTATCC